TCTTGGATATTATCTTCAATAATTTCATGACAATTTTGAGATCGAATGCTTCAAATTATGTCTCGTGGATTTCATACCTCTGACCTTGTATCTTATTGGCTTATAATTTAAATCGAAGGATATTACCGGTACTGCAGATTACATGGCATCCAATCACTGGTCTGATTAAGTTCAATATACGATTTGTACATTCGGTCACCATATATTGTATTTTATGTTGCAAACTTTTAAACTAATGTTCATATTCGTGTATGAAGCAATATTACTGTACAGTAATAATTTTGTAGGCTGGCTACAAAATTGGGGGGCTGGTTTTCTGAACTTTGGCGTTGAACCGATATATAGGACGCAATTTTTTTTTTTTTTGAAGTGAGAAAGTGGATGCAAACCAAACCACTCTCGGACGTTTCTTTGAGGGTGTCCTCTATATCTAGTTTGTGATTTCATATTTGAAACTCTGGTGTCGAAATATTTGCGTCTTGATTAATATTTTGTCAAAATCACTTGCCTGGGTAGTGGAGATTTCATTTAATAAATGTTTTGTCTTATTTATAAACATTGTTCATTTCATTCCATTCCATTCCACCAGAGGTTGTGTAGAGAATTTTTATTTGTATGATTTAGCAAATTACTACTAATTAAATATCACTTGTCGTGTCCATATCTACCACTCATTTTTAGATGCAAAGTGCTTTGTTATCATTTAAATAAAACATTTCTGTCCAATAAATGTAATTGTGTTAATGATGCATATACACCTGCAGGTATAGCCCAATAAATAACTTATCACAAATTTCAGTTTATTATAAAAAGACATTCTTTTTTCCTTTTAATTGAAGCTCCCATCTATTCTACAAATCATGCTGAAACCAAAATGCACCCTTAGTACTGATGCATGTTGCTTGATGCCCAATCCTTCAATGTTTGGGGTAAATAAACCTCTGAATAAATACTGTCAATGAATCAAGGAAGGTAAAAGCCTGTTCATAATGATTTTTAAATCCAGATTTTTAACAGTTTTACAGAAACTACTGTGATAACATTATCACTGCTGCCATAATTTCCTTTGAAAAATAAAGGTTGGAGTGATGTCCTCGTATCTAGCAGGGGTACAGTTTATTGCAAAATTAAAAAATTCTGGATTTACATTTGAGTACCGTAAAATCTGTTTTAGAAGCCGTATTCATTCGTTTTAAACAACTGAGAATCACAAAATAGCTGCATCCGCTCTGTTGCATTGTACCATTTTAATAGAAGCCGCAGCTTCCATTACAGATTTTACAGTAGGCTTCTACCTTAAACACAAAGGGAAAATCTTTTTACAGCAATGGTACATGGCTTAAATTATTGAAGCCGGTAAACCTCGACTTATTCTACTGTAAAAAATAAACATGAAAAGCACCTTGGTAGTCTAAGTATTTGGGGGGGAAAAAATTCAATTAAAAACTGATTTTTTCATAGTAGCACTTGTACCTATAGTCAAACCAAGTTTAGGTTGATGTATGCATTACAAAAATTACTAGATCCCAAATCTGAAAAGCATTTAGTTTGCACAATTAATATTTCAGTTTAAAATCTAGCCTATTTGCTCTATTTGAAGCACACGCCAAATATAAATTGAAGCCCCTGGTATATTTCTGGCAGCACACCTAAACTCTTGGTCAGTTGAATTACTATGCATAATACTGCCCTCTGGTGGCAGAAATTATAATTTTCTTTTTTGGCCGGGAAAGCAGTAATAATTTCAATAAAATGCAGACTGAACTCCGAGTAGTGGCAACTTTTTTTTTATGATTTTATCCATTGTAATATACTACATACCTTTTTAATGCCACAATTTGGGTGGAACCAATTAGACAATTTTTCATTATCTACAAGATCAAAATTTGTGAAAAAAAAAATTGGCCAGTTTATGGTAATGAGAATTTACTTTGCCCCTCAAAAGGTCAACATAGTTCTAATATTCAACACAAAAATGGAAAATCAAATAAAGAAAAAACGAGGGTAAGTAAATTTGTTTCCATGGAAACAATTTGAAATTTCTCAGATACGCAATATTCAATTGGTGAGAAATACATAAAATGAAGGTTCACAATTCCAAAAAACAGATCCAATACTGTAAAATGACTAATTTTCACTGGGTTTAAATTTCGCTAAATTCACCGTTTCATACTTTAGATAAATGTTACATATTAACTGGGTTTTTATTTCAGCACATTTTCCAGTCTGCGAAATAAGCAAAATTAAAACCCGGTGAATAATTAACCCCTTTACAGTACCCCAAATTTTTTCTTCAGACTTTCCAAATAGCCAGGCAGAATAATCTCATAATATTTCTGTGTATCTATCATTAAATTTTAGCAAGTATAGATAAACTAATCTTGCATTACTCTATATATTCCTCACTTGTGATTAAGGGTTCAACCATCATAATTGGGGGGTGGGTTACTATCCATTCCATTACTCTATTGGCTTGGCTTCCACGGTCATAATATTCAATATCTGAGATTTAATAATTACATACACCTGTTTACCAAACAGGCACTTACCGAGACAAGAATTTTCAGCCAGTAAAATCAACAACAAAATTGTACACAATTTTTGTTTTCTGCACAAATTTTTTGTGAAATTACTCTAGGTTTAATGTATTTTGGAGTTTTCGTGTTGCCATAGAGACATTACCAATACCAGATATCTATCATTAGAAATGCATGAAATGCCTGTAAAAAATCAATTTGCATACATGTTCCAATTACAGACAGTATTTCACCAAATTTCTACACGATTACATTCATATACAGCCCTCTTAGTTGAAAATTGTATAAAGTATTACATTTTAAAAAGAAACTCTTATCTACCAAAATGTTGTTTATCGTTATACTGTTCATTCGTTAGAAAATACAAAACTAGAAATGTCTGTTTAGCTGTATTCATGCTTAAAGTCCTCCATAATCTTCTCCCCAAATTGTGTATTCTTTCTATGCGGCATTCCTATATTTGATCATACGCATTCTGCTTCTTACATGGACTTATAGCAAACAGGAAACCATCCTGTGGAGTAGACAAAAACAAACAAACTCATTGTAAATTTGAAATAACACTATCTCCCATTGGCTACTACAAGCCAATCAGAAATCTTGCTACAACCGATTGCTCTCTATCTTTATATATTTATTTGCTATTTGATCTAACATAGATGATTTTATTTTCACTGGAAGAATAAATAAATCATTTTTGTCACTTACCTTTATCAGGTAGGGCAAGTCTGACCAGAACTCAACATTAGGAATCAAGTCTCTTCCGTTCTCACGCTTCAGAACAAATTTATTAATCAAAATTCCACCAACAAAGTAAACAAAAACTAAAACAAAAAATCTGCAGAAAGAGAAACAATAAAAGTATTACTTGTACTGGATTATTGACATCAAAGATGCTTTGATTTATAGTTGCAAACAATCCACACTGAAAAATGCACTATGTGTCAGCACTAGCACTTGCAATTTGCACATACAAAAAATGTCAGGAGAGACAACAGTGATACTCAATGTCCAGAACTGTCGCCTGACACAAAAAATATTTAAAAAAAAAAAAAAAAATTTCATCTATTTTTTTTAACTTCCTGATCAACACTGGCAACAAATTTAAACAGCAAAAATATACACTAAACATGACAATAGATTTGCACTTACATAATGCATAGTATTCCTCCAGTACTCAAAGCTTCTTTCGGTGGGCAAGCTTGAACGCATGCGTGCATTGAGGTGATTTTATATTCCTATTGAAAGAAAATCATTTTTTTAAATGTGTAGAACATTAAAATTAAAAGAATACACTGGAGTAAACAAACTTGAACTTATAAACAATCACACCTGTATAAACCCAACTGTGAGTTACTTAAATCGAAAACAAGACGCTGGATTTAAATTTTTTCAATAATTACAGTTACTAATTACCGGTACAATTCCGGTGTGACCATATTGGTCGTTCATTCAGACTAGCCTCATCCACGGTCCTTGACAATTCACATGCGTACAATATTTGTAACATAACATTTTAAGTTATTTTATTCAATAATCATTTAAGTTCAATAAATAAAACAATATGTACCAAAAAAAAAAAAATATTTAATAAATAATAATTTAATATTTAAATATAAATATTCCTTTAAAAACAAGATTTGTCATGTGCATAAAGTTTGGTCTGATCTAGCTTTCATTTGAATGCATTTCTAAAATGGTATTGTTTAACTGAGAGTGCGAGTGAATCCTAAAAAAGGCTTTCACAACAATTACGTTTTAACTGAAAAAATAATTACTACATATCTCATTAATTATGCATGTAAAGTGCACCAATATTGAACGTGGTTATTTACACCTTTGTTTATAACATAAATAAATTGAAACCAATCGATTGAAAATTACTTATCGCGCACACAAGTGATAACCAATCAGTGGCCGTCTCTCATTAATTATGCAAGCAAAATGCACCAACATCGAACTTGGCCATCTTCACATGTTTGTTTATAAATTTGAAACTGAGCGTGTAAAAATTACTTGAGCTATCACATCCACAAGTCACGCCAATAATAACAACAACAACAACGCTGCCAAATCTTTCCTTTACTATACCTTCCCCTTCGTTTACACTACACTACGGGCAAGGCAAAACAAATAGATACTAGTATTCAGATATACAAACAAAAGAAAATGTTCCAGAACTACTGTAAATAACTTATTTTGGCACGGACTGGTGTTTACAAGTCTGAGGATGTCACGAAATATTGTCGCAGTACAGAATCACTAAAATGACAGAGGCACAATGATGTCCCTTCAACTGAAATTTTGAAACTGATTATTTTTTGCAGAGAAAATTCAATGATTTATTTACCAGTACTAGTATACTAAGAAAAATTAGCCAAAAATTCCATTATCATAGCCATAAGAAAATGTTAACGCTGACGCCAGGCGACAACAATAATCCGGATACCTTGCCACTTCATGATCATTTCAGGCAAGGTAGAAATTATACATGATACCGTATTTGTTTCATTAGTATGGTAGCACATACTCTCATATACATTAAACAGGTTTTCTAAGGTCAAAGAAAATTACACTTCTTTATATGCACTTTTATTGGAAATGCACTTCTAATGAACCAAATTACACTAAAGGTACACTAAATTATACAAAAGTACAGTAAGAGCATGTAGTGTGACACAAACATAGATAACGCAGGTTTATATCAGGTATTTTTTACAAAACTCAAAACAAATATATAGTCAGCTACTTGGTAACCTTTCATTTTTTTCCCAAAGGTCATTTTTGCCAGCATAATTTTACCTTTATTTTGATCTTTAAACAAATAAAAGTTTTCCAACATCAGTGACAACTTTTATTTGACACAGCGGGTGTTTATCATAGCTCGAAAAAATTAGCATAATATTCAAATTAACAGCATGCTATATTTATCAGCCAATCAGTCACAGACTGCAGAGGCGAAATTTTCAACAATATG